GTCCAAGACGATGAGGTACCTTTTATCGAGTAGTGCTACTCGTAGCTTTTCAGCAAGGTCATCCTCACTTCCGTTTGTCTCCGAGGCAGTAACTTGCTGAAGAATCTCCCGCAACACCTTTGACTTGTTAAAGTTTTGGGAAACAGTGCACTTAGCACGAACATGGAAATGACTTGCAACTAATGTATTGTTATACACTTTATTGGCAAGAGTAGTTTTACCGACTCCTGGCATTCCAACAATGGAAATGACATCAAGCTTGGATTCATGTTCATCAAGGAGCTGGCCTATGATCCAGGCTTCGTCTTCCTCATGACCTACTACAACCTCTACAAAAGATGATGAGGCTTGCTTAATTGGCTCGTTGGAAGATTTTGCATCAAGGGTTTCATCCCCATTCTTATCCTCCAGCTGTAAACCGGTGACTTGTGCCACAATAAGCTTGATCTTATCAGTGACATTCGGAAGTGAGAAGATTAAATGCGAGAGAGCTTTATCTCTGACAAGAATGGAATTAATGACATGCTCTGCCTCATATGCCACACCTAAAGCGTGCAACCAACAATCTTTAACTACTCCACTAGTACTCTCATCCAATGTTTGCCTGAAAGATGATGTTAGGAATTCGAGGCTTTGTTTCACCATCCCAATTTCTCTCTTTATGAGAGAAACTGAATAAGCATTGGAAATGAGCAAATCCTTTAAATGTCTGAGTAGAAGATTCATGAAGAGGAAACCATCATCCATAGGAAAACGAAGTTGAGATGACTCGGGAGCTTTTAAAAAAATCTGTCTGATATCTCCCTTCATTTGTTCAATTTCTTGAAAAAAGTCTGGAGCTGAAAAGTCCGCTTCATTGATATTATTCTCAGAGATCTCCTCCAACAGCTTGCTCACCAGAACAGATATTTTTCTTGTGAGCACTCCAGCATGTGCCAACATATCGTTCAATTTTTTACGATGGATAAACCGTTTTGGTATATCAGTGAGAAAGATCAATAGGAACTCCATCATAACATTAATGCTTTGAGTTGGAGCGTAATTTACAGCTACTGCAACTTCCATTCGTCGTTGGAGATGAATGAGATAATTATGAAGAATCCTTGGAGATGCTTTTAGGATTTGCTTAACAAACCGTTTTAGTTGAGTTGATGTTGATTCTTTGATGAGCTTAGAAGTAGAAATGTATAGAACCTCCAGCTCGAGAGGGATTATGTCGATGAGTAGAGAAGTGATCTTGGAAGAGCATTCAGAGAAGTCATACTCATTGTCAAAGTCTTTATACTTTTCTGTCCAAAGATCAAAACAGAATTGTGATACTCTATCAACTGTCACTTGATACCGAGTATAGAGAAATTCTGTTTTTGTTGTTTTGTTGCATTCCAACTGATAGAAATCTCTGAGATGTGTGCATACTTGCCGAAGAATGTTGTATTCACTCATGAGGGGTTGAAGCAAATCAGAACAATACTTTGGTAGATCATGAAGGTGCTTGAGGATGCTCTTTCTATATTCAAACATATTCTCCTCAGTCATGATGATGGCTACATTCTTCAATCTCAAAACAATACTTGCTGTTTCTTTGATCAGGTAAGGCGCAAGTCTATCCATGTTGTATTTCGCTAGGATTAATTTATCTTCTTCTTCATAGAAAAGTGACCAAATAAGTGTATCCAATTTGCTTATATTCAGTGACATCCTCCTATAAAAGTCATCCAAATTCGTCGAATTCCCAAACAGGACAAATGTTCTTAGGAATCTCAGTTCCAATCTTAGCTTTTCAATCAAATCCAATTTTGAAGCGATGAATTTTTGTTCTTCATTCTGTATTTTCTTCAACCCATTCAAGAAATCATCAATTAGATCACTAATTCTTCTTCTTTCTTCCTCTAATGGTAGACATACCTTTCCTTTTTCCATTTATGCCAGAACAGGATTGATGTTTCAACTAATCACATGCACATTAAATGAGAACAAAAATTAGAAATAAATACAATCTTTGTTTCTCAAATAGCACAAAAGTGTAAGAAGCCCATTGACAAGCAACTACCTCTTCCAGTCCTTGACAAGCATCGAGATCAAAGGAGGAGAAAGAGATCACACGGACCGGGGCTCGAAACCTACACACATGTAGAAGCAAGGGGTGATTACCAACAACATCGTACCCAACAAACAACATACTAAACAAAGCAACTAGCTAGAAAACGAACACCCCCAACTCTCCAACCGAACCTCCTCAAACGACAACCTGCGCAGAAATCAGTCCAACCTAGTAATTCTACAATATATGGCTCGCAAAGCCCAATATTCACAATCCAACAGTCAACAAATCACACAAGTCAATCCCAAAGTCAATAAGTTCATTCACACACAACAAGCATATCAAGACCAAGTATCAAGTAAGTCGCGCATAAGCAAAAAAGTCATCAAGTCACAAAGTCAATTTCACACTGAAACCATTTCCCATCGGTCCCATCGGCTTTATATCAAATCACTAGCCGGAACCATTTCCCATCGGCTTCATATTACATGGCATAAAAAAAATTATTATTTTGTCATGATAATTTTTTATTGATAAATTTAATAGGATGATTTTATTGATATAAAGGGAGTGATTTTATTGATACAAAATAAAGTTCAATGACTTTGTTAGATAAATTGTGAAAGTTGAGTAACCTTTGAGATATTAACTCAAAATGAAGGTTCAGGATCAAGAAAACTTACCCAAATGATTTAACAAGCAAAATCCTTTATAAATTTGCCACCAAAGGTTCCCCAAGTTTAAAAATGGTTAAATGGGACTTAAACCCCAAAATCTACAGCAAAAACCCTCTTTGATGTTGCAAAGCAACTAGGGAATCGCTTAAGCGAGCCCCGCTAACAGGTCCTTCGTGATCGTGAAGATCAAGGGAACTTGACCCCTTCGCGAAGCGAACATTACCTCGCAACAATGAGCCTCGAGATCGCGAGACACACTAGATTCAGGCACCAGAAAAATCAGCCAACTTCCAAAACATCAAGAGGACCCTCAGGATTCGTTCGGAATCCGGTACACACAAACCGCATAAGCAAATCAATATACTCGATGCTTTAGACTCGATGAAACTGTCAAAACACAAATCTAAGGTCTCCTTGACCCGGCATTCATGAAAACCACAAAAAACTAACTCACACCAAAAAAGGCTAACTCAAGCTCGGGACCAAAATCTTCCCCTGATATAACGGAACTCTCGAAATCCCGATTCAAGTATCCAAACCCCGAAAGACCCCAAAAGCCACTTTCTTAACAAATTACCCCTTAAGATACTCAAACTTACGAAATTCTCAACTTTTAACTCAAAGTTCAAAACCAACTTTTCAAAACTCAAACATAGAAGACACAGGGTAATCATGGGAGGGAAAAATGTTAAATTCTATGGAAAAATAAAAAATGACCAACCAAATCATTACACTTAATTTTAGGAAATTTTAGATAATATTCTCTAATACTTTTGACCAACCAAATACGAAAAACTTGAAAAATAGTTCATAGTACGAAGAGAAGAGGGTCTGAGGCCAATTTTAGTGCCATGAAATAAATTCTTTCAACTATTATGTATTAGTTCCTCATATTGTATACATTCTTACCTTCAATCCTCAAGTTATGAGAATAATTAGTGAAAGCTTCTATAGATGGATAAACAAAAAGAGCTTAATTATCAAATGATTCTCTCTCTATATATAAACCATTTTCTAGTTTTCATTATGTATAGATAATCCACAAATAATCAAAATAAAAACAAAAAGGGGATAATATTTATTACCTTGTTGCAGATTTACAAAACTTTCATTGACAAAATTGAGTGAGCAAAAGCAAGAAGCAATGAAAGACTAGATGTGAAATAGATTAGTTTAAGCAAAGTTTACTATGATTTTGAATTATTAAAGCAAAGTCTTTCTATATAATTTCCTACTGTCCATATAAATATTTGCTAGTGGATCAATAATAGTCAGGAAAAAACATTATTCAATCATGTAATTAGGTGACAAGAATAAAAAATGGCAAGTTTGATGTTACTTTATTAGTTTATTATATAACAATAATAATAGTTTAGGACCTAATGCAAGGATTTAAGATAGTTTCAATAATTATATTTTATATTGGATACATATTTAATATTGAAAAATTATATATAATAGTAAATTATTAATTTAAATTAAATGCTATAAATATACTTTGATTTGATTGTACCCTATAGCAAACTATAACTATTTCCGCCACTCTCCTTGGTAAAAACTCGTTCGCCACTCTTGTTTGGTGGCAGTCTCGCGCGCCTCTCTAGCTTTTTATACAAACACAAATGTATAAAATGCGTTTGTGTTTGTATAAAGCGAGAAGAAATTGTATAAATATATATATTTTCGTTCCCTCTCTTCCAGATCTCGCTCGCCACTCTCCCTAATCTCGCTCGCCACTCTCGTCTCTCTCGCTTATACAAACAGAAACGAAGTGTATAAATGTTGTTTCTGTTTGTATAAAACGAGTGAAAATTGTATATACACATGCAAATATATATATTTTCTCCTATACACTTATAATTATACAACAAAAATACTCTCCTGCCCATTTTGTTTTGCCTTTCTCTTTTTCTCGTTTAAAACTACAAAATTCTAAAATCTTTTTCCAAGTCAAAATCACACAAACAAATTGATTCAGAAAAAGGAATATTACTCTATTTGACCTTTGAGTCCAAATATTTCTTTCAAATCACTAAAGTACATATCAAATGAAAAAGAAAGATAAAAGTTAAAAAAATATATTTTACCTTTTTCTTTACTTCCAATCTCATAATCTCAAAGCTGTTAGAACCATGAAAATTATGTGATATATTTTGGTCAAATATTTCTCACAATGAAACTTAAAAACCTAATGAAGGCTAGCTTGAATATATGGCCATACAACAAAACAAAATGACAAAATTGATCCCTTATCTTTGCTAGTAGGTTCAATATAGTCCTTTTAAGTATCAATCAAATACATTTAATCCTTTTAAGTAAGATAAATTTTGTAGGTAAATAACAAATTCGTTGCTAATTCTGTTTAGTGACGAGTTATCAAAGATATTTTTTAATCACAAGCAATTTAACGATGAAATTCGTACCTCATTCTATTTTATTTTTATATCTAATATTGTCCAAATTTTAATGTTTTAAATTCAATTTAAACTGTGAAATATTTTTTAAAAATCTATTTTTTTTTTTTTGATATCCCAGGTATCGGGTGTCCCACCTTTATAGCCCCCTCTGCTCCCGCGCTGGAGAGTTGGATGTAATTCACACTTCACAATTGTATTATATAATTTTCTTATATCCTTAATCTTTCTTGCATTGTTTTGGGAAAAAACACAATATTATAATAATCATCATCATCATAATAATAATAAATAATCAAGTAAATGATAAAAATAATTCTTATATAAAAATAATTCCTATTAAAAATTATTTTAATCAAATTGTCCACCTTCCTTAAAAATCTCATCATTTCAAGTAAACATGAATCTGCCAATAAGATAAAGGACCTAGGAAGTGATAATAAAAAATATTTATTTCAAATTGGGAAGATTTCAATAAACGAATAAAATTCTTGTAACCTGGGAATTAATTTTTTAATCTTTTTTTATAACAACTCTATTATAAGACTGAATAAAATAATGACTACATCACCCCCCCCACTATATTAATTAATTCTATTTAATATAAACTTTACAGAAAAACCTCTATATTAATTAATTCTATTTAATTCTATTCTCTGCCCCTTGTTTCCCGTGCTCACCAACCACAATAATTGTGCGGTTATTCAATTTTTGAAAAAAATTATTTAGTAAAATCATTAAATTTTTATTTTGTATCGTTAAAATTATTCAATTTTAATATATTTAAATCAGTGAAATTATTAAACTAAATTTATCATTAAGATAATAAAATAACTTTTTAAATACATAATTACAATTAAAATAATAAATAAATACTTAAAATTACTACTTTATTATATATTATAAGTTAAAATAATAAAAGATTAATTTTATCAATGTCATTTGGTACACTGCTTCATTATTGCAATGACGACTGTCGATTTTGCTCCGGTAGTTTAATCAATTTTTTGTGTTGTGCGAATCCCTTTTTTAATTTTTTTTTTAAAAATAAATAAAGTGAGGTTTCATGTATCAACGGTAGTTTGGACAATTATAAAGTTCAAAGTTTGATAAATTTATTTTTTGTTTTGAATTTTTATTATTTTATAATAAAATAGTAATTTTGAGTCATGTATTTAGTAGTTTAATCATGAATATAGACTGAGTGATTTTTATGATATAAAAACATAAGTTGAATGATTTTATTGATACAAAATAAAATTTAGTGACTTTGCTAGATATATTTCAAAAGTTAAATAACCTTTTGAGAAATTAACTCCTCTATCAGATCTCCTAATTTGATAAATCTTCAAAACTTCATAATATAACATTTTCCTTTTTTATAATTATTACAAACTGTATCAAACGACGAGTTCCCCCTATCACTTATACTTTTAATTCACAAATTCCTCTTATCAGTGTGACCACATCCCTATAACCATACTTGTTACGATCTAAAAATGAGCGTGATGACACTCGTCTTATTCACATATAGTAGTCAGCCTAAAACTCATCTATCACGAAAAAGTGCAGAAATAAAGTATAAAGTGGAATCAGATTCATGAGTTGTTTTTGAGTCTGAATTATTGAATATTGAAGTTTGATCAATTAATGTCTAGCGTAATTAGTCTTTATAATTTGTTCTATGTTTATTACTGAATTGTAATAACCAAAAACGGGTTTGATTTTTTGAAGAGAGTTTGAGAGAATTGTAACAACAAATGTGTTTGACTAATCGCAGAGTAGAGTTAAGAGAGAGTTAGAGAGAATTGTAACAAGAAATGAGTTTGACTTCTTGGTGAGTAGAGAGTTTGAGAGAATTATAACAAGAAGTTTGACTTCTTGGAGAATAGAGTTTTCGATTATAGTTAATCGTTGAAGAGTAAAGATACTAGACTTAGTCCCTTTGATGATTGAATTGTTATTGAAGTTAATAAAATTGTGGTGTGATTTTTTCCTTCCTTGAGGGAGGAAGGCTTCCACGGTAAATTAAGTGTTGTTTAAATTCTGTTCTAAACGACTATAGGAATCAGGTTCCTAGAAATGACTGTTGGCGCATAGTTTCTTTCAAGGAAAAATGCAGAGTGCCACGTAAGTCCGAAAAGGATAGAAAATTATCTATAAAATAAGTTCGGATGAGGGGATAATAGGACATGTATAAATATGTCTCTGAAATTCTGGACATAAATTAAGAGGTACTTATGTATTTTCCATTCTTCCAGTTATTTGTTTCACCTCTTCCATAATATCAAATCCTTAATTATATATGTCTACCTCTGTACGTCATATTATAGATAGAGAAAAAATTTAAATATGCGTCTTTATAATCAATATCACTGAAAGCTCTAGCGACGTTAAATACAACAATATTATTTTTTATTTTGCTACCTTGAATAATAATTCTCAATTGTTTACAAGCTTTCCAACAACACCCATTTATTTTCAAAAGTTCTTCAACCAATGTGAACCTCTTTCCAACAACAGTTAATTTTTCAATCAATAGGAACTTAATTATTCAAATGTTAGCTGTCATTGGATTATTAAATTGTTAATGTTGTAAGGTGATGGTGTATTATATTAAGAATTAACAAATAATACTTAAAGACTTGATTTATTTATTTCAGAGTCAACTTGAAGTTAATTCATTCCACATCTTTATATACACACAACTATGGCAATAACAACACAGCAATTGTCATCTCTAAATTACTCCTACTATTCTTCTTCTTCATCAATTTAATCCTCAGAAATGGATCCGTTTACGGCCGCTGCATTAACCACTGCGGTGACAGCCACGGTGAGCCTTCTGGTGGAGAACTTGTCGCATCTTATAAGTTATAATTGGAAGTTGTATACAGGATTGAAGAAATCATGCGAAGATTTGTATGATGAAGTGAAGCGATTAAATGCATTTTTAGTCGATAACGCGAATCAGAGAAGTAATAGTACGCAATGGGATGTACTAGTCGATAAAATTCGACGTACAGTATATAAAGCAGAGGATGTTGTTGATAAATTATTGATTCAGGGCAAGTTAGACCAAGAGAGTAATATAGCTAAAAAGATGTTTCACAAAACTTACAAAAACAGGAATTTTACTGAGGAAATCAATGAGATACTTGTAGAGGTGAGGAAAATCCTTGAGGAAAATCAACATCTGTTTGAGGCAAACCCGACGATTGATCATCATCAGCCTGAAAAAGTTGTCCAGGAGGAACAGGTACGTTTACACGAAATCTCGATTTTAATGTGATTTATTGAAATATGAAATGAACTATGATTTGCTCGTTTAGTAAAACTGTATAAGAGTTGGAGAAATAGTACTTCCTCTGTTTTAATATGCATTATTTGTTTGAACTTAGTTAAAGTTTAATCTAAATTATTCAGATCTAGGACAAGGCATAAGTAAGGCAAAGGGAAGAAGTACCTTTCTAGATTATGACTCAAATTCCGTAGAATTTTACTTTAGTTAAGGTGTGTCTCTGAAATTCAGACAATTAAAGGTCACCACCAACCATTATTACATGCACAAATCACTGTCGATAATTGCCACCATTGGTCAACATTATATATCGCTTACCTCTATCTATCATTAACTGTCGGTATCATTCCACTATTAATTATCAAATGGTCACCAACAACAACCACAATTAATCACTAAGCCCGTCCACAACCACTATCATCTGTCAACACTATCTAAAATCGATACACACAATCACTATCATTAGTCATTACCACC